TGTGTGTGTGTGTGTGTGTGTGTGTGTGTGTGTGTGTGTGTGTGTGTTCAGCTCAAGGGAACAAGGACAAATAAGTACCATAATAAGTACCACCCCCCTTTTGTCTTATACAGGTGGTATGAATAAATGCACATTAACTTGAAAATAAGACAAAAGTGTGGAATGGGAGAAGGATGAGTTGGAAATAAAGAAGGGACTGTTTCTCATTCCATATGTCTTCTCCCCAGATTGCACCCCCCCTGCCTGTCCGGAGAGAAGCCAAAGCCCCACCTCCACCGCCTCCAAAGGCTCGAAAATCAGGCATCCTCTCTTCCGAGCCAGGCTCTCAGTGAGGATGTCATCCTGGCTCTGCACCCCCCGAGTGCCTTGGACCGCTGTTGCCTGAGAATGGCCCCCAGAAATGGTGGCTTACTGTGCAGGGCTCCCTGCCAGCACTGCTTCCTGCACTGAGAGGATCCTGCAACCCAGAACTGTTCTGTAGCCCACGGAACTTCCGGAACTGGCCATCTGTCTGCATGAAAAGTGCTCTCCTCTTCCCATGATGGCATGTTGGCCTCAACCACCGACTTCCTGGATCTGCAGATGCCTCTGCCAGCAGTTCTGCGGTGACACAGGGATAGCGGGGTAGAGAACAGCCCCTCTTGGATTTCTGACTCCTCTTGGGTTTCTCAGTTAGCTTCTGAACAGCTGTGCTCAAGTCATCTTTCCTTCCCTCCCGTCTGCGTCCCTAACATGTATTGCCTCCTGAAAGAGCCAGATACCAAGAACACTCCAGGAGCTGCCATGGTTCTCGTTCCCTAATGCCTACTGTCTCCTTTGAGGGAAAGAGCACACGTGTAGCAGAGGTGGGCCACGCTCAGGTGTGGGCGGCTTCTCTTGAGAGGCTGGGGACTCACCCACTGGCATTCTCCTGATGAATGGCCTTCTTCTCGCAATGGTCACTTGCTGTGCCTTGGATTCCTTTGAAGCTCGTTTGCACTCTGTTTCTCATCCTCCTCCTTCCTCTGAGCCCAAATCCTGGGCTCTAAGGGACCTAGGAGCTCTGGTTCTACCAGATACATTTCCAGACCCCGTTGGATGGACGAGGTGGTGGTCTCTGCCTGCTACTTGATTTTACCCTGGAGAATACAGTGCAATATTCCCTTTGATTATTTATTCCTTTTGATCATAGAATTAATTTGATTGCTTGCTAATGGTACTAATGTCCATATACTCCTTTCATAAGGAAAAATTAGCGTGACTTGGATGTCCAAATATTTTGTTCACATAAATGACCATAAGATGTATACATGTTTTGCATTAGAGGGGTTTTAAAAGTCATACACACACACTCTCAGTCACCTCATTTTGTAGGTAAGGAAACTGAGGCTTCACACAGGAAGTGGACTACAGGCTTTTACTAATAGCCCAGCTTGCTCACATAGCGTGTGCCCGAGGTAGCAGGTAAATTCAAAAGACAACCCTAACAAGGTTTTCAGTACCTAGCCCCGGTGAGAATGGTATGTGAAAAGCCTCAGATAATTCTGTCAGACTTGGGTGTTGACGGCAAAACTGAAAGCTTTCTGGACGAGGCTTGGGTGACCCTGGGCTTTCTAGAATCTCTCAGTGACCTTGCCCTGAACCTTTTCTTCCAAGTTCAAGTGAGCGGAGGGATTTCAGCAGTGAGAATCTGCATCTGCATTTGCCTACCTGCCTCTTTGTTTGCACAGCTGCTTTCACCACCACCTTAAGACAGGCACACATGGTTGGTCCCAGAGATCAAAGAAGCAAAACCTAGAGACATGCCTGGCACTGTACTAGAGAAGCTAGTATACGTATCCTAGGAAGCCTATGAGAGTCTCTGTTCTTCCATCTGGGAGCACCCACATGCAGTCATGGAAAACACACGGGCTCTGAAATTTTAAGCTACTTTGGTCTCAGATCCCAGGTGTCACTGGTAACTTTGCATTTGAAAATCTCCGAGTATTTGTTTTATAGGGTGTTTTGCTTATGGGATGCCATTAAGGTAGAATGGGTCATGCAGTCAGTGACGTTCTTTCCTAGACCTGAGCAAGATCTGATACTGTTCATTTTTCTTCAAGATATTTGAGGGTGAATTCGGGTATGCAGCTCTTCCCTAAAAAGATGGCAGCTTTGGACACTATTGGCATGTAATAAGAATTGAAGGGTTTTGTTGTTGTTGGTTTGTTTTTGCATGTTTTTGTTTCTTTTTCCTTGTTTAAATGAAAAGAACCAGGCTGTGCAGAGAAGCAGGAAGGCACCAGAAGGGTACTAGAGGGCTTCCATGGAGCTGGGAGCTTCTGAGAAGAGCCCTAGCAGACTGGTTAAAAGGATTTGAAGATGTCACCATGCTTTGCAGGCTGCCAATGAAGCACAGAAACTGGGTGGGAAAAGCAGAGCAAATCTGCAGCCTGTTCTTGAAGACTCGTGGGAGTGAGCCCTCAGCTTGGTCTCTGAGCAGAGCTGGCCCTGTCATTGCCCAGATGTGCCAACCTCCCCACCACCGCCTCTTTTTGTAAGGAATTTTTCTATGATCCCCTTTCCACAGTAATGAAAATAATAGCTTTCAACTGCTTTGACACAAAGGACTGTGGGTGACGTAGGTAGGTACTGGTTTACAGGGCGCTGGGAGATACACCTCTTTGGGAAGGTGCCTTAGGGTTTTTATTGCTATGACTAGCTTGTATCAAGTTGACATAAAAACTGGCTGGGACAGAAGCTATGGATGAAGCAGTTTATTTGAATAAGAGAAAAAAAATCATCTTTCCTAAAGTTGAACACTGCAGTGATGTTTAACACAGAAGGGGAAAGAAGCTGAGGGCAGGAAGAACCAGTTTTTATTGCCCTTGCGTATATCTCTGGGTTACTGAAAGGCACTAAAATCAGCCCTGAGATTGTCACGTGTTTACGAGTGAATATTCGTTGAAGGCTTGTGAGTTCGTGGTATTGTTAAATGGCTTTTTTCCCCTTTCCCTCTCTGCCGTGGTGGCTTGTCTTGCTCTGAGGTTCTTATTTAAGATTTCATTCAGTATATGCTTGCTGAAGGCCACAGATGTAGCTCCTCAGTGCACTCAGTAGAAACAGCCTGCTATGCAATTCACTTGGCTTGCTGTAGGATCAGAAAGCCTGCACTCTGTGAAAAGGAAGCCCTGAGTTAGGCTGCCTCCTTCCTCTATCTCCACCTCTTGCTTGACTCCAGAAATGTAGTCATTTCTCCAGCCAGGGACGGCCATTGTACACGTAGCCACACTGCAGATCCGTTGGCTAAAACAAGGTGTGTCACAGGAGGAGCCTCTGAGGTGGGATGCTAACCACCTTGTCTCTTGCTTCCCGAGTTGAGTCTTTTTACCTGCTCCCAGATTGAGGGGCACATTTTCATTTTGCAACTTAAATGCAACTTATATACTCAGATCACAGGAGTGCAGAGACACGGCTAGATGGTAGACATTCACGTGACCTTTTCTCAGACGTGACTCCTGGATCCCAGAAGGTGCCTGAGTGCCTGGTGCACCATTCTGTGAAACGTCCTTGGGAGGTGTTTCCAAGTTTGTGCCTTCATCCCTCACACTTCTCAGGTATAATGAAAGGGGCATAAGTCCCAACCCATCAGCATAAGACAGCAGAGAGGGTGTCCCATAACACAAGTCGATTTCCGTATCTGTGATAGATCTGAGACTGCATGGACTTGGTCATGTTCTCTCTGCCCTGGCCTCTATTCTGAGGGAACCAAAGGAAGTGAGATTTTTGTCCAAAGGCTTTTGCTGTAGGAACTGGAATCCACGTCTCTCATCCTCAACTGGTGCTTTGAGCCTCCCATGCCTGGCTATCCTGATCAAAAGATTTGTGAATATTAATGAGTCTGGCGTCTGTGTTTGAGATATTGGTACACCTTGTCCTAATTCTTGCAGCAGCCTGTGGATCATAGTCTTCAGAACCACTGACTGGCCTGCTCAGCCTGGACTTCCAGTTCCTCACTTAGAATCAGACTTTCCTTGTGTACTTTGGGCAGTGGGTGACTGCTGTTTTCTTGGACATTTTCATCCCTCCATAAGTGTGTTACTTAAAATTTTAAATCTGAAGTGCTGAAGATGGAGCTCCCTTGCTTAGCTCATGTGAGGTCCTGGGTTTTATTCTCAGTACAGCAAAAGGAGTAAAATTTAAGAAGTGGAGAAAAGTGAAGCTTCTCTTTGGGTGGGTTCAGAGTCAAGACATCAGTTGTTGCCTACGAGAGAACTAGGTCTTGGTTTGGAGGCCTTACTTCTAGCTGACTCTCCAGAGCCACTTGTAGTTGATCCCCTACCTACATAGCCAAGCTCATTTCTCAGTCACCTCTTGCGAGTTGCTCACCCAGGGTCCTGTCAAAATTCCTTCACCATGATTTTATAACTAACTGGGTTTCATACATGGACAGTTAGAAAGATGTGTGTTGAAGAGTTTTGTTCATATTTGCTGTTATTTATTTTGTAAATTAAAAGTGGAAATGTATTTTAAATTTATTTTGTGTTCAGCTTGTTATTGTTCTTAGATTGATAAAATAAGATCATGGATTTTATGTTTGTTTGTTTTTTTTCCCCTATTGACACTTCACCCTCCGGATCTCTCTGGCTCATTTTATTACAAGATCCTGTTGAAATGCCTACGGTGGGGTCCGGGTGTCTGTCTTACAAGGAACTAATAAAATCTGCAGTCTGTTCATTTCTTTCTGCCTTGCCCATCTATGCCTTTGGTGTCTGAGCTGAAAGTTTTCTGGTGGGAATTAACTTCAGGTATGCGGGTTCTTTGTGTATTCTTTAGGCATGGGTAAGTGGATAAATAAAAGGATCTAAGCTGACCCAGTTAATCTATTAATTTTAAAAACTAATAATGTATTATTATCCCTGTGTCTAAGGATTAGCCTATGTCAGAGGCTCAATCTGTGGGTCACAACCCCCCCCCCGGGGGGGGGTCACATATCAGATTTTCATACTATGATTCAAAACAGTAGCAAAATTACAGTTATGAAGTAGGAACAAAGTAATTATATGGTTGGGGTCACAACATGCAGAACTTTATTAAAGGGTCGAAGCATCAAGAAGGGTGAGAACCACTGCTCTGTGTGCTTATTAAAAATGTATGTGGCATTTGCCCCAAGGCGTAAGTGAATGTATGGGCGTGGTGCACTCCAACTGAGAAATTCTACTCGTGTAGGCTGTCGGCAGCTCTGAGTGTTCTTGCACTTACTCACATTGTGTGTGGCGTTCTTTTTAAGTTACACCGAAGGGTAAAGTGTTCAGATGGAGAGAAATATTTGACGTAGTAAAGGTAATGGTTTCACTATTCTCCAATCCCCTTGGTCTTTCGGACCATTTGTGTATTAAGTGGGCCCAGTAGGCTTACAGATACTGTGTCCTCAATTCTAACACAATCAGCTGCTGTATGAACACCATTTTATCCCATAATGAGAATCCGTTACTAGCTCCATTCCCCAGAGATGGTGTTTGATAGCAGAAACCCAATGCTCCAAATATAATGTAGAAATTAAGAAGGTCTGTTGCTTTTTTAAAATGTTTGTTAAGAGCAACTTCAAGGCCAGTTTGAGCAACATGAGACTGTGTAAAATAAACTGAAACATCCATGAAAGATGGTAGAGTTCTACTTGCCAATCAGTTTTTGTTTTTAAAAAAAAAAATCTTTCATCGGGCATTTACTGAAGTTTGAGTTTTTCTGGTGATGCCACAGCTGTCTGGAAGTTCTGAGGATGAGAGTGTGTCAGTCATGTCTAGGAAGAACCTCATGAATTGGCCCCAGTAGAACCATGTTGATTATGAGGCCCAGTTTCCTGTTTCAGTTCCCACAACTGGACTCTCCCATGTCTCAGGCGTCGGATTTCGCTGGCTTCTTTGCTGTGCAGGTTAGGGAGTAGTGCTAAGCACAGATCCAGCAGAACTGAGTGGGTCTCCTAAACCCTGAGGCTCCGTTTTCCTCAGAGTGAAGATCATCAAGGTTATTTCCCATCTTGTGTGAAAAGTTCTGTGCATGTAGATCTAGCATGAGTGGCCCAGGAGACACGGAAACACCAGTTCCTGTCAAGTGAAATACAAAAGCTCTCAGGAAGAAAGACAGCCTTAAGCCATGGCCCCTGCCATGGTTTGGATGTGTTGTATGTCTTAAAGATTCACACTCTGGAAGCCTGTTCCCAAGGTTGTCAAACCTTTATAAGCAGGTGGGTCTTTGGGTCGTGGTGAAAGCACCCTTAGTATAGACTAATGCCTGTCTTACGAAAGTGAGTTAGGACGTGTGAGACTGCGTCAGTTGCTATGAGAGTAGGTGGTTATAAAGGGAGACCACCCAATATCTGGCATCTTCTGTGAACATCCTCTACCTCTGTGATATGTGGTTCCATGAAATAATACTGTTGGCTAGAATATGATACAACATAACAGATATGGCCTCCCAAGCTTGGACTATTCAGCCTCCTAAACTATGAACTGAAAGAAACCGCCTTTCCTTATCAAGTCTAGCCTCAGAGATTTTGCTACAGCAACAGAAAACTGAAACAGTTCTGAGCCTCATACCACAAAAACAAGACCATATGGAGCCAGAAGGCACTGGACCAAGAGCCCAAACAGCTCTGCCTCCCCTCTGCTTCAATGGGATTCTAGCTGACTATGAAAGGCAAAGAGAGGGTAGAGAGTTCTTTCCCAGCATCAAGAAGCCATGGCCATGGGTGTATCTGACTTGTAGGGCTCAAAGATGCAGTTATAATCCTATAGAAGCCAGGTGGACTAGCCTCCTTTGAACTCTCCATGAATAAAGGTGGATGTGAGCAATGGTCTTCTGATCAACAAGACACTTAATGTCATCGTGGGTTTTTTTGTTTTTGTTTTTTCCCCACCCACCACATCCTCATTTAAAGACCTGCACCCAAAGCTCAGAGTCAGAGGCACATCATGTTTATAGGACTTCATCCACAACACATTATTTTATTATGAAATCCACACTGCTGGGTATAAAAATGCTGAGGTCCACACAATTATAGGTCTGTAACAGGTCACAAATCTCAGTGTCAGTGTTAAACTGGAGTGTAGTGGATCCTTCTGGACCAATGCATTTACATCTTCTTCTGCCTGGTTTCCTCTTCAATCAGACTGTCCTGAAAATATAGAACATGCATGTCAGTGTTGAACTGACTAGCTGAATTTCACTGTTTCTGCTGACATTTTATTTTCTAAAATTCAGTTCTAAGAACAAGTGCATTTGTCTGCCAGAAACATAGCAGACAGTATCTTGTAGAGCTGTTTATAAAATATCTACATTGATCAAGGAAAGCATGACACTCTGCAAAAGGATTGAGTCAACCCAGCCTTGGAGTCCTTCATGATGTCATGCCTAGGGGAATCTCCGTGCTTGTTATTTTGATTGGGCTATAAGCAAGACTAGAACAAGAAAGGAAATGAAGATGTCTGATCACCTTCATTTTTGTCCATTGGGATTGGAAATTGAAGTCACTTGAGAAAATTTTCAAAAATCAACTTTATCTTCATGTATGATTTACTGAGGACTTCTCTGCTTGTCTGGGTAACTAGGAGTTGGCCATATGCTTCCTGACTGCCAGAAATAAGTGGTAAGGCAGCTCAATGAACACTGACACTCAATTCTAGGCTCACTTCTATTCTAGGCTCACATCTATTCAGTATGTTTCATGTTTGTTCTCATGAACACCCTGTATTTCAGGCAGTGTGGTAACATACCCCTGTAACTGTAGTTTCTCCAGAGGCTGAAAAAAGAAGCCTCAAATTCAAGTCCAACTTGGAAGCTGCAGAGCAAGTTTGAAGGCAGCTTGAGAAACTTAGTGAAATTCTGTCTTACTTTAAAAATATATATATTTTTTAAGTAGGAGGGCGGCTAAGGATATAATCCAGTGATACAGTGCTTGCCAGCATGTGATCATTTCTGGGATCAATACCCAGTAACAAAGAGGAGAGAGGGGAGAAAATGAGAATGAATCCTATATTAGACCAATAGATTTCCTTTATGGTGGGCTTTAGGCCTAACAGACCTGAAGTCAGATCTGTGGCTCTGAGCTATAAACTTGCTAAGTGTTGACTATTATAATCCCAAGGTTGGGGAGCATTGCCCTTGCTTTCTGTTGTTCCCACGGTCCTGGGAACAATGGCTGAGTCATTCAGCGGTTAGCAATCAGCTCAGAGATGAGTAGTGAGGGTTGAATAGCCCTTCAGAATTAGAAAATTACAGTGGGAAGAAATTTGCTGTTTATTCCAAAGACTGATGCTGGGCTTAGTATGTGAAGGTTATGGAGACATATTTGAGTCAACTTAAGAGAAACATAGTTTCCAAACACGAGTTCTCTCTATTCCAAGTGAGTCAGGTAGCTCTGTGGGGCTGGGAAGCCACTGCATCCAAAGTCCTTTGGGTCTCCAGCTCTATGTGATGACCACTATAACTCACCAGAGCTCCTCGCAGGTCTCTGAGGGGTGAACGGGGCCAGTGGACAGTGCATTCAAAGTGCTGGGGTTCTGCCATTTGATCCACTTCTTTGCCCATCTGGAGACAAAGAATCACATTCTCAAAGATGAAGATAAAAGAAACAAAACAGAGTTTTCTATTTGTACCAAGATTTGTCTGGGGAGAGAGAGGTCTGAGGATTGTGAGGAAGAGTGACAGGCTTGGAGAGTTGTAGGGTCTGGGGATTCAAGGGTGCGCTCTTAAAGAATAAGTGGAATTTCGGGAGGGGATGGGGACAGTAAAAGGTCGTGTTCCCTGAGACAACAAGAGTCAAATGCTCCAAGCCTCAAAGGCAGAGTTTTATAGTCCTAGTAGGACTGGATTTCTGTTTGTTATGTTATCTGTTACTGCCATTCTTCCATTTTATCTCAAACAGGAGTTTGCTCTGTATCCCAGATTGCTCTGAAGCTCACTGTGTATCCTGGTCTAGCCTTGAACTGGCTTAAAGTAGTGTAATTATGTCTCTAATCAACAAGGGGTGGAGTTGTGATGACAGCTTTTAATAGCCAAGTTGACACAATGTATAATCAACTGGCAAGAGATTCTGTCTAGATCAGGTTGGCCTGTGGACGTGTCTAGGGGCCTTACCTTGAATGCTCACTGATATGGGAGGCTAGAGCTGACTGTATAAGCCCACAGTGAGCAGCACCATTCCCTGGGTTTGAGTCCTGGGAAGTCAGCTAAGTGCTAGGCATGCATACATTTATTCTTTCTCTGTTCTTACTATGGCTCTACCTAGCTGTTTTGAGTTCCTGGCTTCACTTCCCCACAATGATGAACTCTTTGGAACTGTATGCCACATAAGCCATTTTCCCCTAAATTACTTTTTATAACAGCAGAAATGGGACTGGGACAGACTTCTTTTTTTAGCCTCTGAAGGACCGTGACTATAGGTGTGAACACCACACCCAGCTAGGCTGTGTTTATTTATAGTTTCCACTACATAATAGTTGAATGAAATTTGCTGCACAAATAATCTACAGAGCGGAGGCTTCGGATTCCGGGGCTTCGTTGCATCTTCAGAATTAGACAATGCCTTGGCTTTAATTTAAGTTCCTCAGCTACATTTCCTGCTCTCAGCGAATGGAAGTGGCTTCTCTCACATAATTCTTCCCACCCTTAAGAAGTGAAGTTTTAAAATAAAACAAGCATCCCACATTAATGCTGGTGTTGGGGTCATAACCTCCTTCGTAGGAAATTAGATGTAGTACGTATTCCACCTCACAATCTTAAACTGGTAATTCATGGAGTTAAGCAGTCTCCATTTTCTTTGCTTAAATGCCTCTATTAGTGACAATAAATAACAGCACATATGTCCTTGATATAGATACTTACTGGAGAATTATACAAGAGTATTGATTTAATATCACAGACATTTGAAAGCTTGGTGCCCTGTGATACACTTGGTGTGCCAGGCTCTTCACACCTGTCCTGCTGTTTGGTTCCTTAGTCTCTGTCAAAAGCGCAAGGAAGAATTTGGCTTCCAGTCTGTGAAGTCTTGTCTCCCTAGCATCAGTATCTAGGGTAAGTTCACAGGAGTACCACCGGGGCTTGCACTGCATGGCTCAAGCAGTTAGAAGTGAGACAGTGGTGGAAAACTTACCTCCTGGAAAGAATCAACCAAGTGTTCAGCATTTCTCTTTCCTCCCGGGCGTAATCCATAGGACCAGTGCTGGTTGGAGCAGCCTTCCAAACACAGAGTCAGCAGAAGAAGAGCAGCCGTGAGTTTGGGGATCATCTTCATTCTAAGGGGCATCAAGATACAATCATGACACACCCAGACTGCAATGAGTGAAAATGAAGACTGCTTGTCAGAGGCCAGCATCTGGACCACCAACCCTACACAAGCTGTACAGGGAGCCAAGAAACACAGGGGCATCTGCCCGTCTTGAGCTTGCTTCTCAGATGCTGGGAACAAACATCTGTACTTCACTCTGGCATCCTCAGTAGTTTTTTGTGGTTAATGTAGTCCATCTTTTATTTTTATTTAGTTACCTGAAGCCCATAATTCATCCTTTACCAAACTCACACTTTGTCTGTACAATCCCCATTAGAGGTTAGTTCTCAACTCTGTCATTCATGAGGTTAGAAGCTGGGCCATCTGCTCTGAATTGGAAGCCTCTGTTAAGTGTCACTAGCTAATAAAAGGTTGCTTGACTTTGCTACCCTGTGGCACATGTGACATTTCTCTGTCTGTCATCTGGTCGTTAGTGTATCACAGCTGGCCGGACCGGCTTCCAGACCGATGCAGAAGTCAATATTGATCCAGGTGGAGACACACCTAGCTTGGATGGGTCCCTTGCCAAGTAAGCCTACAGTTAGGTGATAAAATGTGCCTCCAAATTAATTTCATCTGATGGGGATGAGGCTAAAATCAATGTCCAACACTGGGACACAAGCTGCTGAGTTCTGAAAAGGTTGGCTCTTCCCCAAAGGCTGGTGGTTGATAAGGCTGGTCAGTGAAGGGCAAGGCTTCCTTGGTTCCCCTAGACTGGACCGTTGGGGGCAAAATACCCCTTAGACCTACACTATCCAGCAACATTAAAATAGCACGAGAAACACAAAGAATTTTACCTGTTTGGATATGAGAGCCAAAGGGACAGCAAGCTTGAGTGGCTTGGACAGTGGCTTGAGTGCTGCAATGCTTCTCTTCTCCTCGTTTCCTTTTTATACGAATCTTTTCCCAGGACACTGAAGTCTTCCCCGCTGGTGGATGACGTGGTGCAGGCATGGCGCAGCACAGAACATAGTTTTAATAGTAACTTTTAAACTCTCACAAAAAGCCTTTTAATGGCGACTGTAATTAGAACACCTGCTGGTCCACCTATTACATTTACTTAAACCTGGTCATTAAAATCTTAGCTAAAACTTTCACAGCTGAAGCCACCATTCTAACGGATTAAAATCCAGCCATGGTACATTCCCCTGAGGAAGCTGGCAGGCCTATAAAGGGTTTGAGGAAAATCCATGTCTTGGACTAGGTGAAACTTTCAGAGAAATTAGCTGATAAATACAGAAAGCTGAGGCAGAGTGCCTGGGAGCCAGTCTATGCATCTGGGGTCTCTGTAAAAGGAAACATTTAAATCAGATAATCTAATTTCAGGCTGGTGAGATGGCTCAGTAAGTAGAGGTTGATCCCAATCCTGATGGCCTGAGTTCAATCCCAGCATCCCACAAGGTGGAATGAAAGAACTGATTCTCAGGATGTCCTCTGACCTACATGTGTGCCATGGCACATTCATACACACATAAACACACATGAATGTAATGAAAAAAAAAATTTCCTTTTTCTGTTTTTTTTTTTTCCAGACAGAGTTTCTCTGTGTAGCCTTGACTGTAACTCCACTCTATAGACCAGGGTTGTCTTAAACTCAAGAGATCCACCCCTGCCTCTGAAATTTTTCCTGTCTTTACCCTGTTTATAATCCATCAGAATCAGTTCTATTCTATCTACCTGTTAATCGCTCTTTGCATGTCATCATCATTCAATACATATAGGTTTCAGTGACTCACTAAATGAATAAAGGGCCTTTAAGCCAGGTTTGGCACATGCCACCTCTATTTCAGCTTCAAAAATATTCTATCTGATAGAGAATGAAACTCCTATATACAATACATTATAAAACCCGTTACATTAGCTAAGCTATAAGATGCTTTAAAAACATGGTATTTTATCTTTCTGAAGCTGATACCAGCAACATGGCTGGTAGGATGATAACTGCATCAGTCACTGCCTAGTGTTCTCTGAAATAACTACACTCGCAAGGGTTTCAAGTAAACAGTAATAGCATCAGGCTCAACTAAGAAGCACTGGCTTCCCAGGCCGTCTCTGCTCAGTCCTTATGACAGGGAAGAGGGACTTCTCAGTAACTAAATCACTTTCATTTAGATACCATCACTAACATGCTACTCTGACACAAAGACTGGAACCTCTTCTCACTAGAATAAGCAAGTAAGGCAATTTTTCAATAAGAATTCCTTAAGTCTGAACAATTTTGGTTCCAACTGCCCACTGTATATTGTTTATTAGAGATGTGTTTCTAAATGTCACTCAAGAAAAGGAGTGTGGTAGTTGGCTAGGACTAGCAGAATGATACAGACGTGTGAGCTGTGTTAACAGTGAACTACTTACCTCCATGGATCCATATGGAGGTAATTTAAAACATTTCAAAATGCTTATGATCACAGCAACCAGACTCAACATATCAGTTTGCTATGTGTTGGCCTAAGTGCTGTTGTCTTAGGTCACACAGAGCCTACGGACAGAAACCAAATCTGTCTTACATTCTACAGAGTCAAATAGGCTCTTAAGGTGTTCTGCAGCCAGTGAGGTTTTGAGGCTTAATAGCAGACTTTTAGATCTCTCATGATTGCAGGCTAAGGCCAATTTGCCAAAGGCCTGAAATTGATAAACTGGGTTTGAATAATTGGACTTTATAATTGTCATAATTTTCTTTTCTAAATTCGAAAGAACAGTTCTGTAAAGAAAAACTACTCCAGTTTGAACATTAAATAGCTCAAAATGACTGCAATGATGACTCTGTAAAACCTTCCTGAATGACAGGTGAACCACCTCTGTCTTGCCCTAATGTAAAATCCCAGCAGGAGGACTGTGGGGCTAACTGTAGCTCAGACTGCTAAGCCAGGCAGTGAAAGGTCTGAGGATAAAGCCTTGGGGAACATGTTTTATCCTGAAATAATGCAACCACTTTCCTTTGTAGTTTGACGCTTTTCATTTTAAAGATAACTGCTTCCTTGGGGAATTTAACATAATTCTAGAGTTCCACATGTATAAAAGATGATTTAAAGTTGACTTGGGGGCAGACATGACATAAATAACAGATTCAGAAAATGAACTGGAGAAAATAGGTCTTGATTAATAATGGAAGCCATCATAATAATGACCTTACAACATTTCTTACTCAAAATCCCTTCAAACGGTTGCTGAGGAACTTAGCTGCATGTCAGTCTGATGTGTACTGCCTTAGACAGTTACTCAAGTATAGAACTGAATTTCATCAATGGAAATCATCTAACTGATTTAGGCTGAGAACCTTTCGGTAGTACTCCCACAAGGTTCTATTTTAACTTACACACACACACACATACACACATGTATTCGTGGCTAAATACAATGCAAGTCTTACTATTGGGAACCCTCCCCCTTTCTTAGAAATCTCTTTCCTAGATTTCTTACTCAATACAGCAAATTCCCACTGATTTCATTGGCTATAGAGCAAAGGAAATCACTGAATGTTTTCCCTAGTGTAGAACCAAAAGAGCTGTATCTCGGTGGTCTCTGAAAAGATGATCAGGAAGCCACACCCAAGAAGTGAATTTGCTTTAATCGTGGGAAATGCAGAAAGTGATGACTTTGAAAAGCAAGAAGAGAAACAGCCTGTGAGCGTTGCACACCATTTATTAATGCGGTTCACATCAGATCTGAACCCTGCAGTTCCCCAGCACACTGTGTTTGCATCTGCCCATCCTTCTGCAGAAGGCCATTCAGTGAATGAACACAGTCTGTACTTATTGAAAATAGAGTGCAGTGAAATGAGTTAAATATAATTTAGGCACATATTGATTATGAAAATAGGTATCTCTCAATACAATACTTCTCTGTCTTGGTAAAAATAAAAACGCAAAGAAAATAATTCATTTTCAAAATTGCTTTCCTTTCCCTGTAAAGGAGCACTCTCCTCCCATGTAAGCCCTTTACTGTGAAGGAAAGCTTTGCATATGTAGATATAAGAATAAGCTACAGAATAATGAAGACATGCCACTCTCCTGATGAAGACAAGATCATTTGTGATGATTCACTGCCTCAAGCTGACCAGCCTGTGGGATCGAAAACCCATTTGGACACAGCTTATATCCCTGCTCTTGGGAAACACATAAGGACACTGGGACACCCACTAGGAAGGCGAAGGCCCTACTGCTGTGTTGCAGATAATGACTCAAGAAAACGAGACTAAATTTCATCTAAAAACAAAACAAACAACAGAAAAAAATTTTTTTAAATAAAGAACTACAGATACTGACTGATTGATAATGCAGCTTATACCAGTCAAATGCTTAATTTTTATTCATCAATTTTTTTGTGGCTATAATCAAGCCATCAGTTTGTAATTTCTTAGCCCCACTGTAGGAATTTAGCTGTAATTATCTGATGTTGCCTTCTTGTAAGTGACTCTGCGGGACTTATTCATACTTTATAGCTCCAACTGCAATGGATTTCGATTGAATGCTTATTCTAAGCTGGCCCTTTATAAACTGTCGTTACGTGAACTGTGCTGAGGACAGAGCTTGGTGTTTTGGTTCTAAAGTATCTTCCTGTGCTGTGACAACTGAGCAGGAGAACTGGACTAGTGAATGGACAGAGCCGCTGAGTCTGGTGCAGAATGGAACTCGCCTCTAATGAAGCTGAAGCATGCTCACTGAACAGCTGCAATGACTGGTGATTCCCTGCTTCTGCAGAATGATATACAAAGTCTTTCCTTCCATGCTGTCTCAAAATGCGAGAGCAGAATATAACTCAAATTTAGCTACTGTTGTTTTTAATGAAAAGTAAACATTATAGAAATGAATCTGAAAAGAGCCATAGGGAGTCTTAACCCCACCATACTCACATGATGGACAGGTATTTGAAGAAGGAAGGCATCACTAAAGCTATTTATAAACCTGAACAACTCTTCAGAGTTTTCAAGACGTTTAACAGTTTAAACATCCTTACTGCATCTAGGTGTTCAATAAATATATTTGCATATGTTGTGCTTTTCATAAATTAAAATTCTCAAATGCATCTTAAACCAAGATGGTACTTCCACACAATGCCTATATAAAAGCAAATATAATAGGTACTATCCCTGGTCAGAAACCAGAAAAATGCCCCAACTCCACTCAAAATGCAGCAGCATGATCTACTTTGTCTACATCTATGAACAGAGTGTTCTTCTGTTACAGTCACAATGTGAGGGAAACTCAATTGTTTCCCCTTATGCACCTCTGGGAGCAAGCAAACGCCTCTAATTCCCTTATACTGTTATCTCCTCTAGACAATTCGATGGATGAAGAAATAAAATAAGGAAATGTTTTCATCTGGGACATCTTCCTCCAGCTCTTGGCACTCTCATCTGACACTCTGGGACATATGTAATGGTGTCAGCATCTCTTCAAATATGGCACCCTTCACGTTGGAACCTCTCAGGTTGGCTTCCTGGAGGTCACACCCCGACAAATCACAGTTCTGTAAGACAAAACAAGACTCATAGAGCTCAAGTGATTTAGGATCTGACTTGGTTTCCTCACAAAATGATTTCTGGGCATAGTAGGACAATATTCTGAAGTATCCCCATTTTTAGAACACTTCTATTAATACATTATAGAAAATGAATAAAAATAGCCCCCATTGGCTTGTATATTTGAACGCTTAGTCACCAGGGAGAAGTGTATGAAAGGATTAGAAGAATTAGGAGGGATGGCCTTATTGGAGTAGAGTTAAGTATGGCCTTGCTAGAAAGAGTGTAGCACTGGGGATGGACTTTGAGATTTGAAAAACCCATGCCAGGGTTCCCTCTCTCCCTCTCTTTCTCTCTCTCTGTCTGCTTATGGATCAGGATGGAGCTCTCCATCATGTCCCCAGCACTACACCTGCCTGTCAGCATACTGTTATCATACCCTACCATGATAACAGCCTAAGCTTCTGAAAGTATAAGCAAACCCCAGGTAAATGCTTTTCTTAGTACTCATGGCAGCTCACAATGATCTACAACTCAGGTTCTAAAGGATCCACTGAATTCTCCCTTCTGACCTCTGTGGGATTATTAATTATTATTATTATGAATTGAAAGGGCTATATTAATGGTGAGAAGCAGCAACTTTTGCCTTTAGGGGATTTTGCTGCTCTGCTCCTAAGAACTACCAAGAGATCAAGGCTAAAACAAAATAAAATAAAACAAAAAGTCAACAGTAAGCTAAATTTTCATATACAGTCTGTGTCACATGTCACATTATTCACTCTAACACAACCATCAGAAACATGTAGTCATTTAACTTTGAATTAAAAGAAATGAAGTAAGTTTTTTAGAATAAAGTGTTGGCTATAACAAGCTCAAAGGTCCAAAAACGAAGCGGCTGTTGGCCACTGTACTTCATAGCACAAGCATGCAACCCACCACTCAGTGCAGGCAGGAGAACCTGACAGGCTTATGCAGACAGCAGCCACTGAGCCAGGCTTGGTGGCACACATCTATGATTCTAGCACTTGCAGTGGCTGAGAAAAGAACACCACAAGTTTGAGGCCAACCTTTGCTATATAATGAGTTCTTATGAACAAACAAACAAGCTACCTAACATACAAATCAAGAAGACATACAGAATACAGGTCTTAAGAAAAATAATAAACAAAATTAGAAATCTCAAGCTGAGATTCAAACTGAACATGATGCCAAGTTAAAATGGGCTTTTCCTGAACCTAATCTTAAACCCAGACATCATTTAAATTTCTCAAGTAGTTCAAGAAATAATCTAGCCTGTTAAATGCTGTTTGAAATTAAAACTTTATTAAAATTGTAGTATATGCTTGAGTAAGACCCAAGCAATGGAGATGAATGAAATCAAGGCCAAATCTCCACATCAGGAACTGGCCCAAATGACTCTAGAACTAAAAGTCATTCAACAAGCAAATGGCTACCCTCGGCTCCATTTCTTGGAGGGGAGGAAGGGTACAGGGTTTCACTATTTATTCCAGTCTAGGCTCGCAATCCCAATCCTCCCACTTCAACAGGTATGAGTCTCAACGCCCACCTTCTGAATAAGCAACTGAAAGGGCAATAGCCTTCCAGCTACCCTGCCAGGCTAAGTGGAGCTCCACAGCCAACTATTCCACCTACAAGTTAAGCCAGCTTGCATGATCTCACCAGTCATTCTCATCATTAAAACTCTTCAGAGACTGGAAATGTACCTCTAAGTCGGTTCCTGCCAGAGTTGCTCCTCGGAGATTACAATTCTTCAATTTTGCATTTTTTAAGGTGGCAACTCTGAGGTTAATTCCTGTCATCTGACTTCCTTCCATATCCACACCTTTCAGATTAGCACCTGCAAGAAGCAAGTTTTTGGAGTTTAACCCAAAAGTCTTTAGAGTTAACCACTCAGACAAAAGTATAAGATGATTTAACAGAGGGGCATGAGAAAAGACCCTGCCACTTTCGGAAATAAACTTAGAATCCATCTTTCAATCAACTTACAATATAGATTTTTAGTGGTGGTAATTTATTTTCTTATGGCATAATTTTAAAATGTTTTAGTAATACTTGCACAGGAGAGAAATCAACATTGTCCTTTGAAAATTAGCACTTTTATAGTAAACCTCTGTAAATTCAGGATCAGAGAAACACACAAACACCATGTCACCTGAGTCCAGGTAAATGAGGTACCCAATTCACAAACAACAATATGCTACTGCAATATTAACACGGACAAAACACTGCAGGATAAATGAAATTCTTCATTTTTGTCAACATTACAATATTTTCTTTCAAGGTTAAGAGTTGACATTTAACTTTTCACCTAAACATCTGAGGCATTATTTCCTGTGTCCTGGGTGTTGCCTCGTCTATGCCTGAGGCCACAGTAAAGAGACTCTCCAGTTCTGACATCAGAGGAAGCCCACCCACAGCCTTCCTGTCTCACTTCAGTAACTTTTACTTGATGGTTTCCCTCCAAGCAAGAACAGGCAGACGGCTCTCACCCTCTAAATTGGCTTTAAGACCGGAAGGATCCTCAAAATTACAGAGCCTCAGCGATGCGCCTTCTGCATTTGAGCAGAGCATCTTGACTCCCTGGAGATTTGCACACTGTGAACACAAGAGTCCCGGCTGTAAGGGTTAAACTTGATAACATCTGTGCAAGCAATAAGAAAGAAATTAATAGGAAAGGGCCAATTCAACAAATCTGAAATTTGTTATTTTCTGTTTATCTTGAAGATGCCTTCAATGAAACCCAGTAAGAATTGAGAACTTTCGGAAGAAACATGTGAAAAGAAATAAACACCAAAATAACAACAGTATATCCACTTTACATAAAACATGAGTTCAGATAAAGAAGCTATGCACATCTGAACTATGACAGCCTATTTCTATCATTATAAATAGCCCTGGATATCATAAAACTCATGTTCAAAATGTAAGCAAAATAAGAACACACTCAGAGAATGGGTTTTCTCTTCGTAATCATAAAAGGAATCAAGAAACAAAATTCCTGGTATTCCATTACTTCAGAGACCAGGACTCTAATGCCACCATTAACCTCAGCATTTATCTACAGAACACTAACCACCTATTTCTAGGGTCTCTCTATATCAGCCACTGCTACATGACATTGCCAACCCTGAGCACAATGCAAAATGATTCAGAAAACAGATAGAAAATTATGTGCGAGTTTAAGTGTTAAGTCATCTTATGGGGTCCAATGCCTTCAAAGCCTGAAACCTATGAGATATTGGTTAAAAGGATAGTGTCTCTGTAAAACTGACATTAATATACTTCTTCACAATTGTAACAGAGCAGAAGCTGAGTGTTAAAATTTACATGATAGAACATACATGATAGTTGTATATGTCTAAAATACTAAGCCTGATCTAGTTATGTTAGAACCATACTTATCAAGGAAGATCTCTGGTTTATAGGTGCAACTATTCTCAGCTTACAGTCAACTCCAGTAAACGAAGACAAGGGAAAGGTCATTCCACTGACAGTCAATAGACAAATGCTTGCTTATCCCCATCTTTCCAAGCCTGGGCCCTAATGAGGAAGTATAGAAGGTCTGCCAAAGTAGATGATATAATAAAGACATTAAGGGACCAAAAGAACTAAAGGATGACAAATAGATTTATGTACTTGAAAAATCTAACAAGACAGGATGTTGCCATGTGCAAATAACTATCACTAGCTTTTGTTTTTCCTATTAATACTCTTCAATAAGACACTTAAAAGTTTACCCAGATATCCCAGGTAAAGGTCTACACTGTGGGCTATACTCTAGGATCTCATGAAAAAGGAAATGCAGGAAAAACTGTAGTAAGATTTTCAGTCTTTAACCATGCAAAACACTTCACTTTCTCCTCATCAATGTGGAATAGGTTGTCACCACTGAGAATGTGCAATTCAGCTAATAACACCAGCACCATAGTTATAAGAACTGTCTAGCATTATGAAGAGGCATTGTATTTTCATGGATGCAGGTAAGTTATTTTCTGTTATTTAAACAATGCTATCATTTAAACAACGATATTATGCTTCTTCAATGACACTTATCTTTAAGAAAACATAAATATGTATAAACATATACATATATATTTATATATGTATAAACGGGCAAAGATAAAATAAGGGTTCACTACACTATTATATTTTTATAAATATTTGGGTATTTTTCCAAATGAAACAGTCCTTTTAAAAGAAACACACACACACACACTTTAGATCCTAGTTCCCATTCTGATAACTGGCTTCTGACCTTTGGCAAGCCTCCAGGCTGCAGATTATCAGTCTATAAAACAGAGCAAGCGTTCTATTCCCCCCAGTCCATAAGGCTCCTACTAAGCAAGCATTCTACTTGGCACCCCCACTGGTCCATAAGGCTGGACTGGGAATATGTAGTGGAGACAAGAGATGAGTCACCAGCCTCTATATAGCCAGATAAGTCAAAAAAGCAGGCAAGGCATGTACAAGAAACACCCTAGGCATGCTGAGGATACGGACTCCTGAACAGTGATGGCAACAGGGACTCTTGGTTTATAGTCAAAGCAGAGGATTTCTGCACAAAGGTTCAGGAGCTGTGATGGAATGAAGCAAAACCATAAACTTGGTGAGAAGTTCTTCAAAAGGTGGGAGCCACAGGGGCACCCTTTGGCAGAATGTGTAGCACATATGTTGTGTGGACATTGCAATACACAGGGCTAATCATTAACAGCCACCTTCAACTACAAATGGTAGGGAGAAATCAGCTTTGACACTCGTAGCTTACCATTCAGCACTATTCCTCAATAAAAGCCAACTTTATTAACAGTAATAAACTCACAGGCCTGTAACATTTCACTCTATCAGGAATTATGTCGCCTTCACCCCCACTATTTAAGGTGGGCAGAACGAGAACCCTGAGTCCTGGTGTACAGAGAACATTATGGCTCAGTTCATAAGAACTCCTAAATGAAATAGATCTGAAAAACAGGTGTTTTGAAGTAATTAAACATCTTTCTCTTTTCCTGTCCCTACCCAAACCAAGCAGTCTTACAGTTCAATGAAGGCTAAGTCTTTTAAACTATTATGCCGTTAGTCTATGTCTTTTGCCTATTTCAAAACTGACTGGACCATTCATCCTGAGATAGAAAGAGTAGCAGTATCTAAAATGTGTACTGGATGATTTATTTAAATTAGATTTGATATAGAAGTTGTAGTAACTTGAATCTCTGTAGGTTCAAGGCCAGCCTGGTCTACAAAGTGAGTCCAGGACATACAGGGCTCTTGTTACCCAGAGAAACCCTGTCTCAAACAAACAAACATACAAACAAATTGTGGTAAACAGGCTGAACTAATGAATAAAACCAAAACTGCTATAACTCAACAAATGACTATTTAGCTATATAAATAAAAGCAAAGTGCTATAAATGGTGCAATTAATAAATAAAACATAGACTATGGCGCTGACACAAAGAACGTAATTTGTTATTGGCTCTATCTTATAATGTATCCTCTAATCCCAAAATAACCCAGGTCACTACACACACACACACACACACACACACACGCATAAATACATGTATACCTGACATAGCCTCACAAATGTGCAGAGGGGAACAGAACCATCGAGATGCTGACTTCCTGAACAATGACGACCACACCCACCTCAGACCCTCCTCCAGATACTTCCAGTCATCACCTTTCCCATTCACAAACAAGTTCAATGGATTTCCTGTTCTTTTTAGCTTTACATGTAAGTTGGTAAGTCTGACAAATTTAGTCTACTACTTCGGGAAGCTCAGGACCTCATTTCAGGATTGAACCTTTTAGGTCTGCATTTCACAAAGGATATGAAAGTCATAAAACCAACCCATTTCATATTTAGACCCTCTAGCCACATGGTCAATTATCCGTGTTTAAGTCAAAAAACTCTGTAAGAAACATACAATTCCCGCTTTTGAGAATGCTCAACAGCCTAAATTTTGATTTTCCTTATGACTAAAGAACGATTCTTACGTCGAGCACTGATCCAGAAAGATCAGCTCGTTCAAGATTAGCACAGCAGAGATTTGCATGTGCGAGGTTGCAGCGGCTTAAATTGGCCATTTTGAAGTTAATGTATCGAAGGTCCAAACGGGAAAGATCAGCACCACTGAAGTTTAAACCCTGGAATTAAAAAGCACAGACTGTCATGATGCTGGAACCATCTGTCTGATTGAGTTTAATTACTGTAACTAAGCACTGAGATTTTCAGAAGCCATTGGCCTTTCCATCCATGGAGTTTATCATCAGCATAAGCATAACTGTGAGTACATGTCATCCGTGGCTTTCATGGGTTCTCATAAAAGAAACTTTATCTCCACATATAAGGACAGAGATGGCTACCCAACACTGATAGGTAGATGTCCTCAAGAGGGATCACAGTTAGCCTCATACCTGCTATGATGTCACAGTCACAGAGCCACTGCTGTGATAAACTGGATAACATTTTATAAATTCTAAAATTCAGTCATCTCATTTAAGGAAAAAAAAAAAACACATATTGTGGTATCTTCAAAATCTGAAATGCTCTAACACACAAGAGTTTCTGCCACTGACCAGCCACACACATAGTAATTGTGCACCTAAATTTAAAAACTGCTGTAATTTCCATGTCCCTCAAGAACTGCTACATAAAGCACAATTAAGACAGTTAAAAAACAAAACAAAACAAAACAAAACTCATTTCATCTCATCTGCACCAGCCACTTTATAATAAAATCAAAGCCATGGCTCATAATTAAACTGTATCTTCCATAAAAAAGAAAAATAGATAAATAAAACAAAAACCCTAGAAGGATGTGGAAGTGCTCTTAGGTCATGCAGAGAATGGTCAGCTTTGGTTACCTGGCAGCGCAGCTCTGACTTGGTTGGAGTGGCCAGCAGAAATCGAACAAATTCCTTTCGGGATATTGGTGAATGATCCTCTGGTGGTTGAGAATTCTTGAAAAAAATATTAAAGAAAAATCAATGGGGCCTTTGGGGTGATACTTAGGATAAGTGTGATACTGATTAAGAGAAAAAGCTGCCTCACCTTTATGGCCACTTCTAGGTGTTCAATCAGTGAGTCAATACCAAAAAACCTGGCTTCTTCTAGCACACCTATTAAAACACAAAGCACGTGACTTTCACACAGAACAAGTCATTTAGGTTTTTATATACTTTTTAAAAACTCTTATGAACTTATATACAAAGTATAGACGAATATAGTTGTATACTTATATACAATATACTTTGTTAAACTCTCAAAATAGTGTTGAGATTCAACAAGTAGCCTTGTTCACTTATTTATGTGTGTGCTTGTGTGTGCACGGAAGTGAAAACCAGAGGGCAACTTCAAGGGTCATCCCTCATGTGCCGACCACCTTTTGATTGTCTCTCACTGGCCTGAACTTCATGCAATAAGCTGGGCTAGCTCAGCAGTGAGCTACCGGGACCCACCCTCCCTCCCTCCCTCCCTCCCTCCCTCCCTCCCTCCCTCCCACCTCAGCTCCAGCCGCCATGCCCAGCTTCTTAATTAGGCCCTCGGCCCACTACAGGTAACCAAACTCAGGGCCTGACACTTATGAGGCCAGCACTGTGCTGACTGAGCCGTCAGGCCGGGCCCAGAGAGCAGAGGCTTTGTCACTAGCAACAAGTACTTGTGGCTTAGAAAGCTCCTACAGAATGCTCAAACATATTTTGAAAACAGTTTTTGTTTTTTTTTTTTTTCTGTGCCAGATTTGAATATAATCTCATCACTTGGGAAACTGAGATTGGGGGAGAATCTGGAACATTCTAGTAAGTCTGGGTTACACAGTGAGACTCTGAGAGGGCAAAAAACAAAAGCAAACAGGTTTTTCCACAAAAGAAAAAACAGAAAACGAATAAATTACAAGAAAATCTTGGCTTATTTCTAGATTATGTTGGTAGTTAAATAAGTAGACCATGAGAAAAAAAAAATAATAATCTTAACACCATATACTCCTAAAAGAGTCAATTTAGTAGAGGTTTTACTGTGAATCTAATTAAAAACAGTTAGTTCATTTAATCTTAACAATTCATCTACTTTATTAACGGAGTGAATAATCTAATTATGTTTGCTATCAATGTCTTAATGAGTCAGAAAAGGATAGAAACAAGGAAGAGTTTAAGTCAAATTCACAAAGATAATTCAAAAGTGTAATTCAGACACTGAAACTTTCCTATCTCTAAGTGAAAGGGTTTCCTATCTCTAAGTGAAAGGGTTTCTAACCAGGCTCTGCTCAGCTTGGTTAAATTAGCACACATCAGCACATGAGCAGAGTAAGGCAAGCGCTATGCTCCAGTGAAGACTCAGTTACCTGGTTGTGTAAACTGACCCAGAAATTAAAAAATTAACAGACACAGCCCTCCCTGTAGATTCTAAGACAGTAAGAAAGCCAAGCAGTTAGTTAGGAAGAAAGACTCTTCCCTATGACAGTCTCCACTTCCAGCCATCCAACAGAGAAGCAAAGCTCAGAGTGGCTCACTCACAGCCACCTGCCCTGTGCTCCCTGCTAGCCTCAGGCAGGGAGACACCCTCACAGTCACATGTCTCCTGCCAAGGTTCAGAGCTCCTTCTCAGCACCTCTCACAGGGGGCAGTACAAGTACCAACCCTAAAGAAAACCAGAGTAAAGAGGCTCTATTAGGCCTCACTCTCAATTCACCAAGGCCTTCTGTGTAAATCAGACCCTCTTGGGAAACGTGGTATTGCTGCCTTTCTAATTATAGGTTTAGAATTCAACTTTAAAACACCCAGAAAAGCTTTGTATATACAAGGCCTCGTACAGGGACAGTTGAAAGGATATTTAGTCTATTTTCTATGAGCGCCAGAAACACCTGGAACTATACTCTAGCTCCACCACTGCATTTCAGTCCTGGAAAAACTATTGTAGATTATTTTTAAAGTATTAGATGACTTGGAGGAAACCTGGAAGTAATATAAAATATTTGGAGAGAAACTCTACATGTTAAAAATGACATAAAATAAATCCAAGAGGGCTCCTTCACTCAGGGATATGAAAAGATAACCAACACAGAACACTGATACCAGAGAAGTGGAGCTTCTGTGACAGCTACTGACCACGAGAAGCTAAGCTTTTGAAACTAGTTTGTGGAATGAATCTTAATATTTGGAAAAGAAGGATATAAAAAGCTTAAAACTCTGTAGGTGGATTTAATAGGCAATATTGCTGCTAGCTCGGAAGACCAGACCAGTAGGAATGCAGACAATGAAGGCAAAGAGACTTCAGATTGGAACAGCACTCTACTGGGATTAGAATATAGGCCATTCACATTATATTCTGGCAAAGAATTTTTATATTCTGTCCATAACCCAAGAATTTGAGTGAAGCTGAATTTAAAAATGATGGACTAATCAGCCTAGTGGAGGGAATTTCAAGACAATATAACATCAAGGCTAGACCATAGGCATCTGGGTTACATTGAGAATTGAAAGCACGAAACAGAAAATAAAGTTTAGAAAAACAAGTATTTTGGCCAGAAAAAAAAAAAAAAAAAGGAGTATATATAACTTGGTGGATTAGGAGGTTCAGCTTGCTTAAGAAATCAGCACCGTCTCGAAGAGATCAAGTACTTTGATGGTAGACATCTCAGGAACTGACTAGACCTTAGCACCACAGGATCAAGGGTATGAAGGTCTGCATTCATGTCAAAGACTTCGCTTTGAGAAGACAGGTGCGCAGTCAGCATGCACTGTCTCAGATCCAGGTATTCAACACCCACTCCATGTTGTAGTCTAGGGCAGCGGCTCTCAACCTACCTAATGCTGCAATCCTTTAACACAGTTCCTTATGCTGTAGTAGCCACCAACCATAACATTATTTTTGTTGCTACTTCATAACTGTAATTTTGCTGCTGTTATGAATTGTAACATAAATATCTGATATACAGATGGTCTTAGGCAACGCAACTGCTATGAAAGGGTCATTTGACCCCCAAAGGGGTTGCAACTTAGAGGTTGAGAAGCACTGGTCTAAGGGGACCTAGATAACATTTGAGCTGGCAGCAGACATTCAACATAATACTGTTTTTGCATGAATATAAAATACAAGGATTTTAGGGTCAGAGGTTTCTATACAGATTTCGAAAGCAAGCAGTTAGAGATACCAGGAACATGGAATTGTATGACAAGGAAAGCTGCAGGGGCTGAGCAAAGTCAGGCAAGAAGAGACACTATGGACAATATAAATGGAAAGGTACAATATAGTTGCTTAAACCATTGGGAGTTCACATATGCCTTAGCTGCTGCCAGACACAAAGCTAGAGCATTTAATGCCTGCCTTGCTCAATTTGATCCTACTCTGGTCCCTTTGATGGCTTGAATGAGA